AGGTTGAGGTTACAATTATGTGTGATCATGCCACTGTACTCCAGTCTGGGCAACAGAGTGAAACCCTGTCTCAAACAAAACAGGAAATAATCCCATGTTATCATCCAATCCAAGTTTTGTTTGTATTCCAATAATGGCTCAATAATCCAATCCAGGATTGTGTTGCATGTAGTTGTCATGTTTCTTTAGCCTCCTGCTGATTCCTCAGCTTCTCATCTTTCATCATGTGAATTTTATATAGTCTGTCTACCTTTGGATATATCTACACAGTTATGTTAAAAACTATGAATGTATAAGAATGTCTCTGCAGTCTTAACAGCGTTGAGTTCATCCTGGCTTTCCCCCTTCCCCTGTGTGTAACTCACTTCTCCACCAGTCCCATTAACTTCAATATATTCTATTCACTTATTTTCCCAAATCTTTCCTGTGCAATCAAACTCTATAAAGTAATCCTTCAATAAGGAGCAGGGGAAAGGAAAAAGGAGTTAGCAATGCTTTAAAGAAGATTTGATCAAACTAAGATCTTTTGACCTTCCCTATCTCACCCATCTTTGGGAATGTGAGTTTTGAGGAATGATTGAAGGGAGTAGATGTTATTTAATATAGTGGTTCTTAACTTTGGCTGCATATTAGAATCATCTGGTAGCCATTTTCAAATACCTATGCTCAATCTACACCCCAGATCAATTAGTCTCCAGGGATGAAGCCTAGTCATCAATATTTTTATAACCCAACCCCCCAGGGTGATTCCATTGTCACCCAAGGTTAAGAACTAACAAAGCAGGTTTCTACTTTCATGAAGTAGGGTATAATAGATCATTGGCTCAAATGGTGTTTTTCAAAAGCAGTATATTGATAAATAGAGGATAATGTTAGATCTGGAAATGGTTGTGATGCAGGGCAGGCAGGTCTCAAGCTTGGGGCTTAGCCCAGGAGGGTTCTTGGCTTCACCCAGGAAAGAATTCAAGGGTGAGCTGGTGGTGTTAAACAACAGTCTTTGGGTAAATAGTACTGCCTCTTGCAGAGCAGGGCTAATTCATACACAGTGTGCCCAGAGTTGGCAAAGTATTGGCTCTTGGCAACTGCATTTACACCCAGTTAAACTCACTTTTAGTTACATGCAAATTAAGGGGAGGCTCAATACAAATTGAGGGGCAGATTATTTAGAACTTTCTAGGAAAGGGGTGGTAACTTCTGGGTCATTGCCATGGAAAGCGACAGTAACTTCCAAGTTGTTGCCATGGCATTTGTAACTGTCATGGCACTATGGGAGTGGGTTATGCTAATGAACGATGAAGACAGCTGAGGATTGCTTCCCTTGACATCTCCTTGTCCCTGCTGGTTTCTTCACTTTATACTGCCTGGACCAGATCCTGTTCTGGTCAGCAGGGTTGTGACCAGAAAACAAGTTCTGCTGGTCTCCTACCTCAGTTGCAGGAGATTCAAAACTCCATTTTAAACTTTAAGCCTTATAGTATCTTCTGTTTGAGTATTTAACAGGCATTTGTTTTCCCTTGAAAATATATCCAGCCAAGACTTTATGAAGAATGTGAGCTAAAATTACGGTATTTTACTTGCCTGGGAACAGTACTTCTCAAATGTTAATGTGCATACAAGTGACTTGAGTATCTCGTTAAAATGTAGATTTAAGATTGTGTCTCGGGGGTGAGGTCTGAGAAACTTCATTTCTATAAAGTGATGTCAGAGTTACTGCTCTGGGGACCATGTTTTGGTGGCAAGTTGCAAGACCCCAGAATTTCTACCCTGATGATTTATTAAATGACTCTTAGAGGTGTTATCAATCTCTTTTTAAAGCCAGGGACTTTGCCCAGGGGAAAAATACATACATACATACACACACACACACACACCACTATGCATACAATTTCAGAGCAATTGTGCATTCATTCAGTGAATACCTGTTTAATGCACACCAAGTATCTTTTCTGGGTGCTAATGACAGAATGAGGAACAAGATAGCAAAGATCCCTGCCTTGTGGAGCTTTCATTATAGTGTTGGAAGACAGACCGCCACCAAGTAAATAAAGCAGGCATGTCAGCTATGATACGTGCCTTAGGACAGTGTACGGCAGCCACATGATACAGGGATTGGGTGGAGGAAGGTTTGAAGTGGCTCTTTTAAATTGTTGTGTCTATGGAGGCATCTTGGCCAGGGACCTGAATGCTAGTATCTGGGGAAAAGCATCCTAGGCAGTAAGTTCAGAGTGCCTGAAGCAGTAATGAGTTTAGTGTTTTCAAAAGACAGAACTGGTATGGGAGGAACAGAGCGAGTAGAGGAGAGAGCAAGAGGTGAAATCCCAGAGGTAGAGGCGCCTGATCCTACAGGAACTTGTAGGCCATGACAAGGAGGTTCCCTGCACTTCACCGAGTCCATGCTTAGAGCCTAAAGGAACCATGGCCTCCATTTAAGAACTCCAGACAGAGAATCTAATTTAGGAACTGAAGGGGAAAAATGTCATTTAGGGATTAAATGTTTGGAGAATACATCTGAAAATCTAGAGGAACAAGTATGCAAACTGCAGCCAGAACCCTTACTGAACCCCCATTGGCGCCAGTGTCTTCGGCACAACTGCCAGACACAGCTACTTGCTGAATTATTGCAAGTTCAAATTCCTATTTGCCTGCAATTTTACCAAGAAGCCTCTAACTTCTGTCCTGTCTCTGCCACTTTAGAATGCCAGAACATCACAAGCTTTCGCAGGCTGCACTCAGAAGGCTTGGTTAAATCGTTACTTTATTTCTTCACCTTCAAATGTCCAATAATGGCTTCACATTAGCATTAGCCTGATTTTCTAAGTCGTGATAGTTTGAATGTCACATTTTGCTTTTTGTTTTTAATCATTTTATTTTGCTTTGGAGGGTCTCTATATGCTCCCCAATGGGGAGTTTTTGCAGTCCCCATTTCTTCAAGTGCCTCCTAAATGACAATTGTCTTTTAACTGTCCTATGCTGAGGGCTGGTTTGAGACTGGAACAGTCCATAAAACAGCTGCACAATCAGGATTAAGAAGATTTAATCAATGCTTTAGTTTTCCCAGAAATTTAGACCTTTAGCTTGACTATAGCAGAAAAATCACAGAGGCATTCTGCTTTCAAAAATAATTTCGAATTTAATCTTTCCTTGATGTGAAACAGGAAATAAATGATTTATTCTAATTTGTCAATTCTAAGTTGACAGTGATGAACTGAAACAGCACCGAACCATGATCCCTCTGGTAACCTTTAGATAGGATGGTTCAAAAAGACCACTCCAGGACAGGCGCGGTGGCTCATGCCTATAATCCCAGCATTTTGGGAGGCTGAGGAGGGCGGATCACTTGAGGTCAGGAGTTTGAGACCAGGCTGACCAACATGGTGAAACCCTGCCTCTACTAAGAATACAAAAATTAGCTGGGCATGATGGTGCACACCTGCCATCCCAGCTATTCGGGAGGCTGAGGCAGGAGAATTGCTTGAACCCTGGAGGCGGAGGGTGCAGTGAGCTGAGATCATGCCAGTGCACTCCAGCCTGGGAGACAGAGCAAGACGCTATCTCAAAAAAAAAAAAAGCAACAAAAAACAAAAAGACCACTCTGGCATTTGCTGTGCCTGTTTCCTTGTCTATAATGAAGGTATTGAATAAAGCAAACTTTCCAATCAGGGCCAGCTATATAAAAGATCCTGCCTTGAAAGTCACACACACACACACACACACACAGCCACACATACCCACACCCATACCCACACCAAAACTCTTCTATATACACACACACACTCAAACAAAGCAATAAAACTCTATCACACACACACACATATACCCAAGACAAAAAAAAGTTTTTATTATATTTTGCTTTACCAATTTATCCCTTGGAAAATTGTTTTGCACCAAGTTATTTAGTAAGTTAAGTTCTTGTCCCTCATTTTATGAGGTTACGAGTTTGGGGTTGGGGGAGAAGCCACTGCTCTGAAGTTATATCATCAACCAAGGTGGAGAGGGCATCCTGACAGGGATCTCTATTCTAGAAGCAATGGATAACAACAGGGGAAGGGCCATATGATGGGAGAGATGCCAGCCTCAAACACTCTATAAAAAGCAGTAACTTACTGTCTCTCTCTTCTAATAGAAAGCAACCCTTGGGGCCAAAATCTTTTAAAAAATGTACTGCTATATCTTGAGTGCCCAGAGCAATACCTGGCACAGTAAGTGCTCAGTAAGTATTTGCTGAATAGATGGAGCTAGGTACTGGTCCACTTTGGTGCCTCTAGGAGTGCTCCTCTCACCATAGGAAACATGCTCAGAAGTAGGAAGTTCGGGGTAACATAAACTTGTAACTTCACTCTCTTCTCTTTGACTTGTCACCCTTGAGCATTTGAGACTGAATTGCGAAAGTCTTAGAGAGAACAGGTAGGGGAAAGATTGGCCCATTTCTCCCAACCCACCTGTCTCTTTCCCCACTGGTAGTGTCTGAATGTGGCATCAACTGGTATGTTAGAATTCATCTTTGGCCTGGGACAGGCATGCCTTCTAAGAATCCTACCATGAAAGATTTATAAACATAAGAATCCTTAATTTATCTGTTATGTAAATCCAGATTTATTAACTGAATTTGTTTAAATCAAAATTATTTGTGCTATATATCTCACATTGTCAACAGATCCTACAGCTGGTCTGTTTTTGCTCATAAGCTGAAAGAGAATTAGGAGTGAGTTAAAACGAAAAATGGTTTGAAATTCTCATAGTCCTCTCAGCAAAGCCCTGCTGATTGATACAATAAACCACTGCTAAAGCAGCATTAACAATAGTGGACCATTTTGGATATTATCTGTGTGTAGAAAGACACAGAGTTTGACTCTGTTTAGAAAATCAGATGCTAAATAGCTCCTGAAACCGGGGAGCTTGTTATGAAAACAGAGGGGTGGTAGGCCCTTCTAATTGGCCAGAGTATTTACCCAGAGGTCTGGCTTTCACATAAAAGGCAGGAGGAACCACTGGAGTCAGTCCCCGCTTCCAGTAAGAGTTCAAGTTAAAACAGAAAAAAGGAAGATGGCAAGAATATTGTTACTTTTCCTCCCAGGTCTTGTGGCTGTATGTGCTGTGCATGGAATATTTATGGACCGTCTAGCTTCCAAGAAGCTCTGTGCAGATGATGAGTGTGTCTGTAAGGATTTTTTTATGCTTTTCATTATCTTTCTATTACATAATGGAAAACATATCCACTAATAGCATAAAATTGAATTGTACTTTGAAGTGAGTCTTCTCCGATGTGTATATTATCAACTTTGTTTCTTCTGGTCTGCATTTTGGTGTCTTACTATGGAGAATTCACTTGGCTGAGTTTTGTTGCAGGTTTAATATCTTGGCTGTCTTCTTTCTCTTGTATAGACACCAGCTGTAAACTGGAAATTATCAGTCACTCTGATTTCCTAGTTTTTCTAATATACACTGCCTTTTACTGTTATAAAATTCAGGAGCCTAAAATGTAATCATTTATTTATTTTTTCTTACAGACACTATTTCTCTGGCTAGAGCTCAAGAAGATTATAATGCCCCGGACTGTAGATTCATTAATGTTAAAAAAGGACAGCAGATTTATGTGTACTCAAAGCTGGTAAAAGAAAATGAAGCTGGAGAATTTTGGGCTGGCAGTGTAAGATGAGATAATTTAAAATGAACACCTGTTGACACATATTGCTCTTAACTTTTCCTTGATTACTTACGTTCAATCTATTTTAATGCTTAATACTAGTTGTTAAGAACCATGTAGCGATTGTAGATGGAAATGCAAACATTCAGGTATAGTTGCTATTATTGCACTTCAAAGAAAGAAAGATCAGTTTCATAACAAAACCAAATGTAGGTTAATGTGATATTTTGGCAAAAAAAGAGTCAAATTCATGGGGGCTTGAACATCCCAAAGAATTTGAATCTTATCTGAAAACGTCTGAGATTTGCCAAGTAGAAGGCATGTGTGTTGGCAGTGAGTCTAAGTATCAATATTCTTTCAGGAAACGTTGCACCCTCATTAATTCCAAAGAATCAGCGTTTTTCAGTTAAAATATGCAGGGGTGGTCCCTGGGGAGGGATGAAGCAGGGTTGATTTTCTGTCCTCATCTGCAACCCTAAAGGTGAGTTCTAAATTAATGAAGGATTACATTTAAATCCTTTTAAGTCTGTTCATTTGAATTGTTGAAAACTGAGAAATTTGCATCATTTAAAATAAGTGTCTACAGTACTTTAAAACATGTACTGTCTTTATATATTTATGGGTTCAAAAAAGATTTCAGGCACCTCACAAGACTGCATAAAATAAAGTCATGCTAAAGTAGTGAAATAAGGCTGGGCCACTAAAGAGTAGATGCACAACTCCTGCGGGTTAACTTAGTGCTCCAAGTAAAATTCGGATTTTCCGCAGAGCCCCCTGGACCCCAGGGTGAAAGGGAGGTATTGGCAGCTATGATTTTCACCATCAGCAAAGAGGATGCCTGCGGGTTTCTCAGAAGACACTCAGCATCAGCTTTTTCCTGATTGCTATTCTTCTGGGCACTTAGGTTTATGGCGATGGCCAGGATGAGATGGGAGTCGTGGGTTATTTCCCCAGCAACTTGGTCAAGGAGCAGCGTGTGTACCAGGAAGCTACCAAGGAAGTTCCCACCACGGTAAGCATCTCAAAAGTGACTAGACAAGGACTCAGATCTTGGGGCAACGTAGACTGGTGTCAAAAATGAATCATGCAACCTACAAGATGTATAGAACAAAGCCCCCAACTTTCAATGACGATTTTTCTGAGAGAGTGAGGTTTGGGGGACTATGTATAACTATTGTCAACGTTGAAAGATGAGTAAACTTTCTGTATACCACCACCTTTTGTCTTATTTCAGTTTACTATTTTTTTGTCTCATCTTTTTTCTTTATTTTTTCAGCTTCATTGGGTTATAATTCACAGATAAAAATTGCATACATTTAATGCATACATTATGTTTTGATATACCTTGTGAAATGATCATCACAATCAAGCTAGTTAACAGATACATCATCTCACAGTTACCTTTGTGTGTGTGTGTGTGTGTGAAAACATTAAGATCTACTCTTTTAGCAAATTTCAAGTATACAATTACAGTACCTCTTTTGTTTTAGATGTGAGTTATCTTGCAAAGCAGTCTATGTAACAAAGAAACAAACCAAAGTCAGTACTAACTGACTCTTACTGACGGTTTTCACTAAAGATAGACTGAGAAAAAAATTATCACATGTTTTTGATCAAATCAAAATATTCTAAAACAATCTTTGAATGTCTTATTTTTGTGGTAAATAGATTCTATTTATGTATGAAATAAAATTATACTCTTCCTAATGCCCTGGGGTCCTGTAAACTCAGGACAGAAATAAAAGATGCTTTCTGAGCTACTTTGCAAGATGCTTGTTTTGAAGTGATTCTCCTGGAGCTAATTGCTGTGCTTCAAACACTGCCCATCCTACACAAATGGGACTCAGTTGTCATCACTTCTTAGCGTTAAGCTGAAATCTGTCAGATAACCATAAATTAAAGGTTCATTTGAGGACCTTCATTGTAAGTAGTTTTTGACTTAAAGTGGTAATTATTTCATATTTTTGGGGGGTCAACCTTTACTTACTTGAAATTCAAATTTCTCTGATTAGATATGGTTTTAAATACAGAATCTACATCTGTTTTTTAGCCTAGCCTATTCAGTTCAATCTTTTTTGTTTTTGTTTTTTTCCAGGATATTGACTTCTTCTGCGAGTAATACATTGGTTAAAACTGCAAATAGAAAGAAAACACCAAAAAATAAAGAAAAGAGCAAAAGTGACCAAAAAATGCATGTCTGTAATTTCTGACTGACATTTTAAGGATCTGTTACCTTGTAGAAGAACAAGGGCTTAGGGGTTGGAGGTGGCAGATAAAAGAGGATTTTCAACTCAAAACTTGTTTCCTGCTGGCCTGGTCTTCCCACGAGCTAGAGCGGGGAAATGTTGAGCTCAAATGGGTAAATTGAGACCAGAAAATTATTTTTTTCAACCTAGAGAATCTCCTCTTACAGGGGGATGCATATAAAAGATCATGTATGTGTAGTTATTTCTAAGTAGTGATTCTTCCCAGCTCTTTGATTTCCCGTATATAAAATAGGTGGGTCATAGGTGGGTCATGTTCCCTTTAGACATGACATTTTCTACTCATTTGTCTTTCTGGCCAATTGGATTATTAATAAAGGGGCTGTTTTTTCAAGGAGTATTCTAGTATTTTTGTTACCTTTAATATTTGATGCCTTTTGGAGGTAAAGCTGTTTGGGTGGAAGAAGAGTTTTTGGACCCATAGATGTTTGGATGATGTCTCTAATTTGTCATTTAGAAAAATCTCAGAAGTCATTTCAGTTTAATAACTTGCCTTCTAAATGATCAATTTACTTCTCCCCCAATTTTAAAGAAATATGTGTATATTTAACAGGGGAAGGTAGTTTATCGAAATATTTTTAATGGAATAGTTTTCCCTTAATATGTATCCTTGCTGGATATTATTCAAGCTTCAAGTCATCAAAAGACCCAACAAAACAAAGAAACACAAAAGGTCTGTAGGTTATTTTCTCTACTTCTATTCCAACTTTGAATTTCCTCTTCCTGTGCAAATTCCTCTAGTCAAGTGTGATATATCAAGAAATCTGAGGAGGATGCAGGTTTTGTGGTCCTGATGGGCCCACAAGTTTTTCTATATTTAACTGGAAATATGCTTTGATTTTGTGTTATTAATATAATTCTTTTGATGTAGTCATGATTTTTTTCTTTGTTTGCATATAATTAAAATGCCTGTACTCTACTTAATGTCAAAATTTCTGAGTTTTTTCTTAAACGAACCCCTGAGATGCCCAGCACCCCCATTGCTCCCACCGGGCCTTAGCTACGTAGCTTCACTCCCCATGCATGGGGCTTCCAGGGCAGAACTCCCTGCTTAACTCAGTCAGCTCCAACCCATGAAAACTGAGCTCTTCCAGGAGTTGGAAGGCCATTGACTGATTTATATCTCCTGGGGCCTATCTGCATTAAATGAAAGCAAGCACTTGCAGGCCTTTAAACACACATCTGTCCTCTAAAAATGCAAATGGCCAACCGTGGACCAGCAGCAGCAGCAGCAGCAGCTGGGCCTCACCTGGGAGCTGGTTAGGAGGCAGAATCTCTGCCCACTGCATGCCTTCTGTGTCAAAACATGCATTTTTAACAATAACTCAGGGGTTTCCTGTGCACATTAAAGATTGAGAAACACTGATTTTAGTTCCCTCTACTCATCTTACAGAAAAAGAAATAAACAAAAGGCTAGAGTACATAGGAGATAGAGCAACTCTCTCCAAGTTAAACAACAGGATTGAACATTCTTATCAGTACTTTCCCAACCCTACCACAGCACTGTCTTGATTCTCCACTGATGTCTACCCAGAGAAAAGGAGGCAGAATGGTACCAGGGTGAGAGTTTGTGGGCAATGAGGCCTTTTGGGATCCCTTTCTAGTTGATGAATTGTTTCTCTCCCCTTCCCACTAAGAGAAAGGGCATCTTAGCACCTCTAAAAGGTTGTCAACTGTTAACATAAGAATTTTAGTCTAACGATCCTTGAGGGAACCCTAACTTGTAGGCTTCCTTGATACCCAAGCTAAACGATGTATATCTATATATCTCTCTACGTATCTGTATTAAATACATATATATTTTAGGCAGCCCAAGTCTTTGCTCTAGTTTATTAATCATGTACCAGGTAGTTAGGCCTGGCAGCTTGAGTACCTGTGACCCAGCTCCATTCTAGAGAGTCCCCGGCTACCCAGACGCATTCTGTTTTAGCCAAGATTAAACAGAACAAGGGCGCTGCTACCGTTTGTCTTTTAGTCTGAAGATAGTTAATTTCATTTAGGAAGGGCTTTAAGTTTTACTATGCAGCTTGTACTGCCTCCTTGTGAGAGAAAAAGAAGATGTTTAATCCTCCATCTCTGACCTCACAGAGTACAGGAAGTAAGACTCCTACCTACAGAAGAATAAAGAACCAATGCGGGGCAGTGGATGTGGGGAGGGAAGGCAGGTAGGTTTCATGAGTCAGCTTAGGGCAAGTGGTAGACTTTGCCTAGAGTAGAGCCCTTGCAAGGTATTACCAGGGCAGGATGAGGCAAGTAAAGAAACTGATCAGAGGTGAGAGGAGTCAGGGCATGGCACATGATAGTTGGCAACAAAATGAAATCATGTTGAAAGGAAGTGCGTTGGGTGGCACTCGTTGCTCCGAAAAGTTAGGTGATGATAAAAGATCCCAGGGCACCTTGGAGCTTTGAAATAACTGGGCTGCCATTTTCTAGCTGTGCATACTTAGATAAGATTCTGACTGTAACTGCAGGACCAGCCCAAACCAGACCTACTCTGTCGATAACAAAATGTTGAGTTGCCTTTTAAGTATAACAGAGCCCAAACCTGCAAGTCCTATTGCCCAGGCATGCACAATACAAAAAGCTTTGACCCCTAATGATACCCAAAACCAACAAATCCTCCCTTTGGAACCGAGAAGACCAGGACAGGACTGGAACCTGAATGCGAGAACACTTTCAGAAGTGAGGGGTCTGTTGGCCCTAAAGATCTGGGGCTAAAATCCTCCTTAACATACCTTTCTGTAAATGGTCAAATTTAAAGCCCTCCGATCAGACCCTGCCAAGCCAACATTCCCAAATCCTTTCTCTTGCCCACGGTGATGGTTAATATTGAGTGTCAACTCGATCGTATTGAAGAGTGCAAAGTATTGTTCCTGGGTGTGTCTGTGAGGGTGTTGCCAAAGGAGATTAACACTTGAGTCAGTGGACTGGGAGAGGCAGACTCACCTTCAATAGGGGTGGGCACCATCTAATCAGCTGCCAGTGTGGCTAGGATAAAAACAGGCAGAGGAACATGGAAGGACTAGACTGGCTGAATCTTCCGGCTTTCATCTTTCTCCTGTGCCGGATGCTTCCTGCCCTCGAATGTTGGGCTCCAAGATTTTCAGCTTCTGAACTCTTGGACTTACACCAATGGTTTGCCAGGGGCTCTTGGGCCTTTGGCCACAGACTGAAGACTGCACCGTTGGCTTCTCTACTTTTGAGGTTTTGGGACTCAAACTGGCTTTCTTGCATCTCAGCTTGTAGATGGCCTATTGTGGGACTTTGCTTTGTGATCACGTGTGCCAATTCTCCTAGTAAACCTCCCTTCATATACACATATACCCTATTAGTTCTGTCGTTTTAGAGAACCCTGACTAATATACCCACTGTCCCCTAGAATCTCATGTTCTTCTCACATTGCAAAATACGATAATCCCTTCTCAATAGTCTCCCCAAATTTTAACTCATCCCAATATTAACTCAAAGTCCAAAGCCTAAACTCTCGTCTGAGACTCAGGCCACATACCTCCCATCTATGAGCCTGTAACATAAAAAAAATTATTTACTCCCAAGATACAATGGTGGTACAGCCATTTGGTAAAAATTTCCATTCTAAGAGGGAGAAATAGGCCAAAAGAAGAGGGCAGCAGACCTTACATGACTTTAAAACTCAGTAGGGCAGACATTAAACCTGAAAGCTCCAAAATAATCCTTGACTCCACGTCCTGTATCCAAGGCACACTGGTGCAAGGGGTGGGCTCTCAGGGCCTTGGCAGCTCCACCCCTGTGGTTTTGCAGGTGAGCCCCCATGGATGCTTTCATGGATGAAGTTGAGTGCCTGTGGTTTTTCAGGCTCAGGGTGCAAGCTGCTGTTGGCTGTATCACCCTGGGGTCTGGAGGGTGGTGGCTCTATTCCCACAGCTCCACTAGGCAGTGCTTCAGTAAGGACTCTGTGTGGGAGCTCCAACCCCATATTTCCCATCAGCACTGCCCTAGTAGAGTTTCTCTGTGGGGCTCTGGTACTCCTGCAGCAGGCTTCTACCTGACCACCCAGGCTTTCTAGTAAATCCTTTAAAATCCAGGTAGAAGCTGCCAAGCTTCCTTCACTCTTTTGCTCTGTGAACCTGTAAGCTTAACACCACATAGAAGCCACCATGGCTTACAGCTTTTGCCTTCTGGAGCAACAGCCCAAGCTGTGTCTGGAGCCTTCTGAGCTGCAGCTGGAACTGGAGTTGCCAAGGTGCAGGCAGTAGCATCCTGAGGTGGCACAAGGCAGCAGGCAGCAGTGCCCTGGGCCTGGCCTCTGAAACCATTCTTTTTTCCTCCTAGGCCTCTGGGCCTGTGATGGGAAGGGCTACCTCAAAGGTTCCTGAAATGCCTTCAAGTCTTTTTGCCCATTGTCTTGACTATTAGCATTTGACTCCGTTTTAGTCATGCAATTCACTCTAGCAAGTGTTGCTTCCCAGCCTGCTTGGATTCCTTTCCTGAAAATGCTTGTTCCTTCTTTAAGACATGGCCAGGCTGCAAATTTTTCCAAATTTCTATGTTCTAATTTCCTTTTAATTATAAGTTCCAATTTTAAGTAATTATTTTGCTTCCATCCCTGATTGTAGGTTGGTAGTTATGGCAGCCATACCATATTTTGAATGCTTTGCTGCTTAGAAATGTCTTCTGCCAGGTATACCCTAGGTCATCATTTTTAAGTTTAGTCTTCCACAAATCCCTAGGACATGGAGACAATGCAGCCAACCTCTTTGCTGGGATGTAACAGAGATGACCTTTGCTCCAGTTCCCACTAAGTTCCTAATTTCCATCTAAGACCTTGTCAGTTTGGCCTTCTCCATCCATATTTCTATCTGCATTTTGGTCACAACTATTTAAACAGTAGCTAAGAAGTTCTAAACTTTCTCTCATCTTCCTGTCTTTATCTGAGCCCTCCAAACTCTACCAACCTCTGCCTGTTACCCAGTTCCAAAGCCACTTCCACATTTTCAGGTGTCTTTATAGCAATGCCAGACTCCTTGGTACCAATTTTCTGTGTTAGTCCATTTTGCATTGCTATAAAGAAATATCTGGGACTGGATAATGTATAAAGACAAGAGGTTTATTTGGCTCCTGGCTCTGCAGGCTGTATAGGAAGCAGAGCATTGGCATCTGCTTGGCTTCTGGTGAGGCCTCAAGAAGCTGGTACTCAGGTGGAAAGTGAAGGAGGGCAAGCATGTCATACAGCCAGAGAGGGAGCAAGAGAGGGGAGGAGGTGCCAGGCTTTCTAAAACAACCAGCTCTCACACAAACGAATAGAGCCAGAACTCACTCATTACCTTGGGGAGGGCACCAAACCATTCGTGAATA